CCCTGCTCTCCTCTGCTGCAGGTCTGAGGATCCGGCTCTTCAACTTCTCCCTGAAGCTGCTGACCTGTCTCCTGTACATCGTCCGCGTCCTGCTCGACAACCCGGAGGAGGGCATCGGCTGGTGAGTGCTGCTGCCGCCGGGCTCCCCGTGCCGCCCTGCACGGGGGTGGGAAGATGCACGACGGACAGTTTTTCTGTTTGAGTTGGTAGTTCAGCCAAACTTGCGGGTCTGGTGGGCTCTGCTCCCTGCTCAGACCCCATGGATGGCGGGTTTTTTTGCCCTGCATGATGCATGGGGGAAGGTGGTAGAAAAATCCCGGGTCACGTTCCCTTCCAAAGAGGGTCGGGGTGCAGCGTGCCCTTCAGACACAGGCAAGAGTTTGTGATTACCGGGCATCACCATGCAAGTGTTTTCTGAGTCCTGACGCCCTTGAAGACACTTATGCTAAATCCCATTTAAGTATTTGGGAAGGAAATACATTTTGCCATTTAGCTCCCGGAGGTGACAGATGATTCCACACACCGGCTTTGCTCTGGGTTTCAGTGTAATCCTGTTTTTAATATGTCCTTGCTTTGTCTAGCTCACGTACAGTGTGGGTTTGGGTTTTTTTTAAGAGCTAGGAGAATTAGCAATTTGATTTTCCCTTTGTAAAGGTTGCAGACTACCAAGTACATCCCCCAGAAGTGGTTTCTAGTCTGTAAGAATTCAGCGTGACACCAATGCATATCCCGGACAGGTGTAGCACAGCTGCAGCTCGGGGAAGTCCCCGTTCCTGGGGTTTGTGGCCAAATCAAGGCTGGCCGGGGGGACGCGTCCCTCGCAGCAGGGCAGGGGGACAGCTTGGCTTTGGCACTGCCTGGCCGGCTGCTCGGGGCCCCGCTCATCCCAGAGGCTGAAGCTTGGTGACATTTGCTAATTGCAACCTGGTAATTCCCAGCTGCAGCCCGGTGTGCCGGGAGCCCCGTGCCTGGCGGGTGTCGGCGTTTCACGTCTCTGCTACAGGCTGAGGTACCTGACAGGTCTCATTTTCCTGTAGCAAGATGTTAAAAACTGCTGGGGTGAGACGGGCTCCTGTGGGAAGCCCTGGCTATAGGGACCAGTGTGCGTGTGGACCTGTGGGAGTGCCAGCGGGGGCTTCCCCAGCATCCGGACCGAGAGGCGAGGGCAGCTCGGGGAGCCCACCCCAGCACCCCTTTTCCTTCTTCCCCCCACTGAGTGCTTTCCTTGCTTTATCTTTCCCTTCTCCTAGCTGGGAATGCGAAAAACAGAATTACACAGCATTCAACCAGTCCACGAAAATAAACTGGTGAGTTGAGAGCTGCTCCAGTGCTGGGGTCTGGCTCTGCTGGGACATGGTGGGGGACACATCTGGGGCTGGCAGCTGCCTGTGGCCATTTCTTGGTCACTGGGCTGCTCGAGGGACCCTCGCAGGATCCAATCAATGGACAAGAGTCGTGGCTGAATCCTTGGGAATGGCTCATCCTCAGTTCCCAGTAAGGAACACCAGTACCAGTCCTGTGCTGGATCCTGCTCAGGACTGGTACTGGTGTTCCTTACTGGGAACTGAGGATGATGGTCTCAGACTGGCATTCAGCACGGGGTAGAGGGTCTGCTGGTCGGGCTACAGTTTAGATGCATTTTGAATTTTCTTTGCAGGTCACACATCTTCTGGGTGGATAGGAAAACGCCGCTGTGGGCTGTGCAAGTGAGTGCCCGGACCTCGGGCAGGGTGGTGCAGGGGCAGAGCCGGGGCTGGGA